TGGTTGTCCCTACACCAGATCACCAGATGGTCCATCTCCCACCTGTAGGCAGACTCGTCTCCACCAGAGATGAGTCCGAAACAAATAGAACGTAGCCTTTTACGCACATCACGTCTCCGTTTTACGTGATGACGTCGTGTGGCAGGCACAGCTATGATGGCAGCCGTAGGTTGACATCGATACATTACCGAATATAAAGTATTTAAAAGTTAGCGCAAAACCCCTTACACAATAACATAGACATATTAACAGTTTGCAGATAGCACACACTTAAACACACACCCGCCCGGTTCGGGGAACGGTAAGTTCAGTGAGCTTTGCACTGTCGAAGTGTGTGTTGGTGTGTGTACAGTATGTATGTGCAGTGTGCAGGTAGTTACTCGTCTTTTCCATGTCTTGCACACACTCTTAACGTACCCGTCGTGCTAGCTGTGAACCAGAGGAGTGTGTTAGACCTGCACTCATCCTCCCAGCTGAGAGCCTCCACTGTCCTGCTCAGGTTAGCTCAGTTTGTAGCCTGCTATCAGCTGCAGGTGACCTAGCTAGCCCAAAGTGCTGCTGCAAACAGCCTGAAGCGAGCTAATGCTAACAACATGCAACCAAACACGTCCTGCACATCCTAAATCAGCTGTCAACATGTCTCCTTGTAATGTGAAGCATCCCAGGTGCATCCCACTCTGAGGTAGCTTCCCTAATGTTGAGACTGGCATCTGTGATTTAACCCCAAGTGCAGGTTGTATCTCCTGCAATTCAAATTATACAATGTTAGCCAAATGGTTGGTCAGTATTTCCTAGGAATCATGTACTGAATGCCTTTGTCCTGCCACCTCTCATCACTTGTGCTGTCAGCATGTTGGGGTAGATAACTGTGTTTTCTCCCCCCCCCCCTTGCATGTGTCTCTTTACATAAAGTGGCACTATGCCCGCTGCCACTGTGGATCACAGTCAAAGAATATGTGAGGTTTGGGCAAATAACCTGGAGGAGGAGCTGAAGAGGATCCGACATGTCATCCGAAAATACAACTACATTGCTATGGTGAGATGTGCTAATAGAGAGTGCACACTGTGTGAAGCAGACAGAATTATTTTTCTGCATAACGGGTTGTCTGTTTCTCTTGCAGGACACAGAGTTTCCAGGTGTAGTAGCCAGGCCGATCGGAGAGTTCAGGAGCAACGCCGACTATCAGTACCAGCTACTGCGCTGCAATGTAGATCTGCTCAAGATAATCCAGCTGGGCCTCACGTTTATGAATGAACAAGGGGAATACCCTCCGGGAACATCGACATGGCAGTTCAATTTTAAGTTTAACCTCATGTAAGATTACTTTTGGGCTTCTTTCACTCCATATGTGGCATTGAAATGCATCCATTGCATGCATGTGAGTGTTTATGAATGAGTATCTCAGCTCACTTACAGCATACACCAATGAAACAGTAATAAAAGTTACACATTTATCAGTTATCCTTTATAAATACTATCAATACGATGCATGTTGTTTGATGTAAAAATGTAGAACTTGGAACTCCCAGGACAACACCGGCTCAGATGCAGCTTATAAAAAGGCAGATTATTTTATAATTATGAGGTTCAATTACTGTTCTCGTACCAACATTGTGTTTGATATAATAACTGTGTGGTGTGTGTTTGTCTTCAGAGAAGATATGTATGCACAGGACTCCATCGAGCTCCTGACCACTTCAGGGATTCAGTTCAAGAAGCACGAGGACGAAGGCATCGAGGCGCTTTACTTTGCAGAGCTGATGATGACGTCAGGTGTGGTGCTCTGTGACGGGGTCAAGTGGCTGTCTTTCCACAGGTACTCTAGGTATTCTGCTTTTGCAGTAAGTCGCTTTTTTTCAATTATATTCTCTAGGCATCTGCATAAAGAAAAAGGAATCGTATAGGTTTGCCCTCCGTTTTCTCTCTTTGATTGTCAGTTAATTAAAGATGAAGCACATATCTTCCACTTCCTCCCAGTCTTCAAAAATTAAGCCAAAATATCTTGTATAAGATTCTAACATCCTACGCTAAAGACAAAATTAGCAGCCAGAGTCTGTGCAATATTAATAGGGGATTGCACCGCCTGGAAACCAACTAGCTGCTATAACCAAGTAGTGTTTGGACCACGGTCACTGATTTGCTTTTTTGAAGACACAACAACTCACCATTATATCTTTATAAATACATTTATAATCCAATTGACCTATGTTCTATGAAACAGACTTTTGATTTGTGTTTCAGAAACATGCAAATGTCTTATACTGTATGGCCACACTAGATGGTGCGACTCTGACTAACTGTTAACAGATATGCTGCTAAGCTAGCTGGCAACATGGTCAGTAACTGTATGAACTATAGATTATATTAACAGATCTTTATTTTGAAAAACAGACAATCACAGTTATGAAAACTCTTAAATTACAGGTACAAATCCCGATCCTCCCTCTCACAGATGTCAATCATGACGTCCCACCCCCTTTCATAGCATCATATTATTAAAACCATCATAAAAATTGACACATCACCGTAATTACAACGACCTCAAATGACATGTCATTTGATTGTTGTTGTTTACTTTAGATCATGTCCCTTCATTAACAAGGAAAGGGAGGGGTCTTTGACCTATACTGCAGCCAGCCACCAGGGGGCAATAGAGTCATCATGTCTGCAGTGAGATTTGACTTAAAGTTGACCTATCATGCTATATTCGAATAATATAGTGTAGGACCATACCTATATAAGACATATTTATCCTTTTATTTTTCAAAATACCAAACAGATCATGCAATTTAGCCATTCCTCATTTCGCTCAATTTAACACTGTCTTTGCATGGGCTGATTCTGTGAGAACAGCGCCATCTAGAGGCCTTGCATATGTACTACAGCATCTCCAGCGCTTTCGAACGGCAATGAACGTGGCTGTCTCCTCCTGATTGGTGGAGTTGGCCCTATAGCCGTAGCGCCACTTCTGTGACGTCATAGAAGTGTTCAAATCTGGATCAGTCTGTATCAGATCCGTTGCGGCCCCTTTTTAAGAAATTTGGGTATGGAGGAAAATAGAGAGGGTTGTGTTTTGACACTTGGTGAGTTCCCTGGAACACCGGGGACACATATTCATGTATAAAAGACGTACAAAAGTGCATTTTGCATGATAGGTCACCTTTAATGATATTTAACAGAACATACTGAGGTTCACAACTACCTATCTCACTTGACCCTTGTGTAATTTGACGTGATGATTCAAGATGGTGGCGTGCACACTCGCATCCATAACTTGTTTCGGCCAAACGAAAAACAAGATTTTTTTTAGTAAACCTCAAACTTAAGGTGACTCACCAGACACTAGTGGCTAGGGATGGGTACCGAGACCCGGTATTAAAGGGGCCCAGGGACGGAATTATTAAAGACCGTGGTACTGTTAAGCTCCGACGTTATCGGTCTTTTTATCGGTGCTGGAGACATCTAAAACACACACACACGGCGGAGATGGCGGAGAGAACACGCTGCAAAGTGTGGTTAAACTTTACCCTTCTCGATGTGGACAATGCTCGTTGCCAAAAGAGCAAGAAGACTTTAGCATCTAAGGGCGGTAACACGAGCAATTAGTCTAAACATTTAGCAAAAGTGCACCACATTCAGACGGAGAAATGCACCGGGTTTGACTGTCTTTCTAGTAGCTCTGTAGCCCCATCCACGAGTAACATTTCCACGCCAGGTATTATGTATGCTAGCAGCAAAACACAGAGTTAACTACATTATACAAACATGGGTTAATGACTAGAGGTAACTGAGTTATTAATTTTGTTAAAGTTTCAGCTATTCTGTTTACAGTTCTGTCATCACATTATTTAATACGATTTGTTAAAACACTGTTGTTAGTTTTACCTCATTTTTTTTCTTCCAAAACAACCGGTAAGAGTACCGTTAAAAGACTGGATTGATAAGCGGTATCCATAAAAGTAGTAGTACCGTTAAAACCTTAACGATACCCATCCCTACTAGTGGCTCCATTAATCAATTTTTAAACAACCATATTTTTATGTTGATAATTTTGTCATATTGTTTATACTAACGCAACACAAATGAACGCGGCGCTGTTACCCCATTTGCACTGTTTGCTTCTTTATCCCAGTTCAGACGGTTCAATCGTGTACATCTGAACACCCTGGCCAAAATGTAAATCAGCCCAACTACAGTCTGCTCTTACTCCTAGGTTGAAACGTTTAATGATATTTGCTTTGGCTTTATAGAAGTGTGTTATATTTTTTAATTCTTTATTTACGTTGTGTGTCTTTACCTTAGTGAGAGGTAAGATGTTACGCAGAACTGTGGCCGTTTTTGTCTCACCTAAAATGAAGAAAAATCTCCTGTTGGAATTTGTTCTCCAATTTGCTGCTCGATTTAAATGAAAACATGTCTTATTATATTGGTCTCTGATAGTTAGTGGTAACTCTTTATTTTTTAGCAAATGTCTACAATCTACTGCTTAACATCTTCGTTTCATACTCAGTTTCCCACTGTGTCTCCATGGCAAACTGAGGCTAAAGATAACCACGCTTTGGAAAATAAACAAAGCTTAGGTTTGAAACACCACTGTCATCCCTTTCAGGTATTTAGCAAACTCCTTTATTAACAGGCTCTCATGTTATTTTGTTTTTCATTTATTTATTTTGTATTTATCATTGTATTTCTTAATTTCATCTAAATTTGTGTGGTTTATTGGAAATTAACTACATTTTTGGGATAAAATTGCCGTTATGAATACACTGAACATCTTATTGTTTTGACCTCTAATTAGTAGGATGCTTGTTGTTAAATCAAAGGCCTGAACCACAAGATACTTTTTTAGGGTAACGCCGTGGCTTTGTGTAGTTATCTGTCCTCAAATGTACAGACTGAACAGACCTCTTAAAACCTCCTGCTGTGTGCACTTTATAAAACATAGTTAAATGGTGTGTATGTGTTTTGTAGTGGCTATGACTTTGGATACCTGATCAAGATTCTGTCCAACGCTAACCTGCCTGAGGAGGAGGTGGACTTCTTTGAGATTCTGCGCCTGTACTTCCCCGTCATTTACGATGTCAAGTACCTCATGAAGAGTTGTAAAAACCTGAAGGTACCTTAATAAATATTTCAGTAGGTAGCACAGTGTCTCCTGTTGTGATCTTGTTAGTGGTTTTACTTTGATACAAAGCTTGTATTTTCAGTGATTGAGTGTGTTTTGTTTTCAGGGCGGGCTGCAGGAAGTGGCTGAGCAGCTGGAGCTGGAGAGGATCGGACCGCAGCACCAGGCCGGCTCCGACTCCTTACTCACAGGCATGGCTTTCTTCAAGATGAGAGAGGTAGGCTCCTCCAATCAGGGTGAAGAGTTGTGTGTCCAATTTTAATTTCACAAAACCTGCCCAAAGAATAACTTACAGCAATAGCTCGGATTGTTTGAAATTGAGAGGATAGAAAAGCGACAAAAGCGATATCAACCACATTTTAAAAAATCATTAAGAGGTCAGGCTTAATTGAAAACAATGCACTGATTTACCTTCCCCTCAGATAGCCCTTTCTGACAACCAATTGAAGCTTTTATCTAAACTCTCTTCCACGCAACCACACTCCATTCATTTAAACAGTACATTTTCACTTACCATGTAAGTTGCTCGTTCACTGATACCCTCATCAGTTAGTTTGAAGCCAACAGGTCCCATGTCATGGCCATTTCTACTGATCATAATTCCATTGTTGAGGTCTACTAGAATAGATTTATATTGTGCAATTTTCCAAACTCACATTGGTTTCTCAAACAGCATCTCTGTATAGTATGTGTATTCACTCTCTGTCCTAAACGCCTTGTTGGAGCTCCTGCCCCCCCCTCTCTGTGAGCCCACTGTGCTCTGATTGGTCAGCTCGCCCACTCTGTTCTGATGAGTCCACCACCGTTACAGCGGAACATCAGTGATTATGTGTTACAATGGCGTTAGCAACCAGAAAATGACACCAGTAATGACAAACAGATGAGAATGCTGCGTGGAGTCTGGGGGCCGTGTTGGCGGGACGTTGCGTGACTCGCTGCTGCAGAGGAGCGGACAGTGTGAGCTGGGTTCATTTCCTGCTTGCTGCGTGGGGTCTGTGAGACAGCGAGACATCGCGAATGGACGCGGGAAGGGGTGGGGGGGTGCTGAGGGGGCTGCAGCTAGCCATCTGCGAGGCTCTAATAGCACCCGTACCCCCAAACGTTGCGCACCTACAGTGTGAGTGCGCCACAGTTTCGCCGCTGCGAGGCTCCACTAGCACTTTGTTTTGATTATCTAAATGAGAAAATGAACAAGTAACTAAATCTGTCAAATAAATGTAATGGAGTAAAAAGTAGATTGTTTGCCTACCTGATGTAAGACAGTAAAAGTATAAAGTAGCATAAAATGAAAATACTCAAATAATGTACAAGTACCTTCATTTTTTTTACTTAAGTACAATACTTTGGGAAATTTACATTCAACCATTGTCTCGTGGAAATATTTAGGACTGATGAGTATGAGTATAACATTTGTAATCACTGGTGTGTAATGAGGGCTCCTTATTTTTTGCCATTTTTAATCAAAGGAGATCAGAGCAACTATTCTCTGTGAGTCCCGAGGGTTAAAAACAAACTACGATTCATCACATATACTATGATCCTAAAAGAAAGTGAGAGTGTCTCTTCTCAACATGTGTGTTTTCATCTTCCACAGATGTTCTTCGAGGATCATATCGACGATGCAAAGTACTGCGGCCACCTGTACGGGCTGGGCTCCGGCTCCACCTACGTCCAGAACGGGACGGGGAATGCTTACGAAGAGGAGGCCAACAAACAGCAGTCGTGACACCCGCCCCTCGCCCCGCGGTCCACATGCACCATCAGTGTGACCCCAACCGGACGATTATCAACATATTGGAATAACAAAAAAAGCTCTCGCATCATTTAGCAAGCTGCTTCTCATAGGCTCTGCTCACCTTAGATACTTTAAGGAAAGTCACAGCTGTCCTCACACATGCTAGCTTCGTGTGTGTGACTTTTATTCCTTAGAATCGGTGTACACGTTCTGGTGGAGTTTAGAATATTTAAGAGGATGGGATTTTAGTTTTCCTAAAAAAAAACGTTCTGTAGAAATGTTTTGCACTTTAAAAGCTCTAACCTGATTTTATATGGAAAGCTGAAAAATGTTTCTGGTGTCTCTCTCCTCTTTGTTGCCTTTTCTACGTTCCCGTTTGACACACAAACCTTTAGTCTCACAACAACCTCGCTCAGCCTTAAAATGAGCTGCTTATATTTTAAACTTGAATTTATTGTGCCCTCTGTCATTGGAGCTTTGTATGATAATGATAAAGGGAGTCAGTGTGTTTACGTGCACATGAATGTTTTGTTTGTATTAAGATGTTTGTTATGTCCTGAATAAGCTCCAATCAGACTAACACAACAACACAGTTTCCTCTTTACTATCTAAGTTTTCCGTGTTTATTCTTCGGAGCAATATGGATTATTCTTGCATGTTAGCAGCAAAGCATTATGGTCTTGCAATGATTTATACTGAATTTAGACCCTAAGAAAGAATGATAAAGTATAAACCTCTCGCCTGCTGTAAGACACGGTGAGGCTAATCTTGAATACTCTGTTGAGAGTACATTTTAATTGAGATGATAAGGTTTACTAGAGTTTTGGAGTCGTTATAACGAAGACAAACCTTTTACTCAATGGAAAAAACTACAATTAGTAGTTCTGGCCTTTTGAATGAGTTTCTTTTGTATTGCTTTCCAGTTAATTCATGCTGCGTAGAAGAGCCGCATGTTCTCCTCGTTTGAATAAATGCTGTGTTGTTATAGTAGTGTCCTGAACTTCCATAGGTGTGTTGAAGTGTAGCTTCAACATGCGTTCACCTCCCTGACCCTCAAACACATCTTTCACACTGTTACGGAGTAAAAAGAAGGATATGCAATATACAAGAGGATTGTTTTTAGATTATTTTGTAAATAAAGGCATGAAACTTTTCTACCATAAATGCTCTCAGCCTTTACATTACTAAACACTTTGAAGTTTAAGCCCTTTTCATATTTCCGGTCTCCTGTTAAAATGCTTATGACCTCAGTCCTGTACAATCAAGTCATTTACATCATTCTTCTTATACCTTTGAGTTGAGTACTAGGATGAGTTAAGTAATAATATTTGGATACTAATACTACAATTTGTATACTAATACTCATATTAGAAAACCAATGTTAATATTTGTATACTCATACTTAAATTCAGATGAGTTGAAAACTAATAATCAAATTCTGATAGTTATAGTAATATTTGACTACTAATATTCGTATGAGTTGAAAACTAATATTTGGATACTGTTACTAATGTTAGGATGACTTGAACATTAATATTCAAATACCAACACTAATATTTGGATACTTATAGTAATATTCTGATACTTATATTAATATTTGGATACTAATACTAGTACTCTGTTACTAATACCAATATTCGGACACCAATACTAATATTTGGGAAATAATACTAATATTCAGATTAGTTCAAAACTAATATTCATACAGTGATAATCTTGTGATACTAATATTTGTAAACTTAACATTAAAATGCATTTAAAACTAATATTCAAACACTAAAATATACATTTGGATACCAATACTAATATTCCAACAAAAAATACTTATATCCGGATGAGTTCAAATCTAATGTTAAGATACTAACAGTAATGTTCGTACCCTAATACTAATAATACAAGGATGGTTTGAAAAATAGCATTCTGATACAAATACTAGGATACTAATACTAATATCAGACGCTAATACTGGTATACGGATACTGATACTAGTACTAAAGTTTGAAAGTGTGACTGCAGTGTGCTCTGTTCTGGAGATATCCTCACTGGAGTGCAACAAAGAGCTGAATCGGGAGGCTGGAGACGAGATAATCTTTATTGTTATAAGGCATCACAACTGTACAGTACATCGCCTCACAAATATTTTCTCTGGAGTCATAGAGAGAGAAGAATAGAAAAATATAGATTGACACTGACGGTCGTAATGAAGCTTTTTTTAAATAAGCATACATTCTACCAATAGTATAACAGCCATTTACAGCCAAAGATAAGAAGAGACTCACAAAGTGAAAATATCCTGTACGAAGCAGCTGGGCCTTTTTTTTGTTGCTCTGCGGTACATCCACAAATTCTCATTGCGAGTTAGAAAAACAGGACAGTTTCTGCTTTTTGATGAGGAACAGAGCTGCAGCATTAAACCGAAGCTTTGCTCGCCTCCAGAGACGGGCGGGGGGCTTCTGTCCAGCAGTTTGACGTGTACCAGAGTACCAGACAGCAGTTTGGATACTTGGCAGGGGAAAACACTGTCACGGCACCTGCAGTGTGACAGCAACATCCTCACTCATGCTATAACCAGTAAGAAGAGCCCTTATTCAAATGGAATTACTAACCTCTACACTTTCTTTTATTTTGTTCAATCCAAGCAAAGGGGGTAACATCTTTCACTACAAATGGGTGTGATTGAGTTGACATCCTGAGATGAGAGCATGCATCAGTCCCCCCCTCCTGAAGTAAATAAATGGCTGAAGAAACATCACTTACATCACATTAACACCACTAGTCTATACTCAATGTGCAAACATTTGGCAAACTTATAACAGCCTTTATTTTTGTGCTAAGCTACGAGAATGACATAAACAATCCTTATTTTTCTCTGACAGTATCACAATAGCAGCTCAGAATGATCTCCTAGTGTACAAAGTGTTAAAAAAAACACCCCTCCATAGCTGCTCTGTGCTTATCATGTACAAACGTGATTGTTGAAATGCAATTTTAATTTCAATTCCCGTTCTGAAGCCCCAATACTTTCAGGATAGCAGCAAAAACTGTTGGTGATAGCAAAAAGAGTAATACCGATCATGATGATAAGCTTTTTTTCTGCTGTGATATCCGTCGCGTAAACCTCTCAGAAGCAAGGTGAATTATGGGAAACAACTATTCTTGATGATGTCATCACAATGTCAAGTTCTGGTAGTCACAAACACTGAGGAGGGTGCCGTACACCTGTTGAATGAAAGACATATTATTGTTGATTTAATAACTTGAGACGTGGATAGATTCTATGAGACTGTAAACTCACCTCTTCTGGGTTGAAGACGTCTCTTGTTTCTCCACCACAGGCTACGCCTCATGCTCTATGGTCATCGCCTGGTTACTGGAACCTGAATAGACATGTGCTTCCTGAAGTCATTCAAATTAATAATAATAGTACAAATAATGTAGCCATTGTAGCCACTAAATGTGGACATTCATTGGTTTTGCTTGATAAAATAAATGGTTGTGCCTGTGTTAAACTTGTTGGCCAACTTGTAAAGGAGTGTTTGGGAGAGATTTTAGCCTTTGCAGACCATTTACATGCACAAAAACCTATAACAAACTACAGGAAAGGGAAAGCTCCAAAAAACATTATAGGTCCACTGAAAGTCATGCATTTATGACCAGCATTTATTAGGCATTCAATCTAGAGCCATCACTACAAAGAATATTTTCTACTATTTTCTCCAATTTTTGCCCCATGGGCCAACCAACTGTTTCAAGTTTTTTTTGCAATGGTAAATTAAAATGCATTCGAGTCAATGTTGTTGCTAATAACACTGACTGTGAAAACCAATTCTTCTAGCATATTTTATAGAGAAAATCTTCTGTGTTCTGTGGTTTTGCATTGCATTATGAAGACCAACTGGCATTAAAGGTGGGGTAGGTAATTTTGGAGAAAATTTGAAAATACACAACCGGAAAAAATCTGCCACTTCCTTACAAAGCCCCTCCTCCAACACACACGAACGCGCACATGACAAATGAGGGCACGAGATAAGTTTGTGAACAGATGGAAGGCTGACAGGTAGGTAGGCCATCCAGTCATTTAGCCGGGCCGGCTAAAATGATTGGTCGTGCTTTTTACAGTACTACGGCTTCCACAGATGACATTCTTTTATGGATTTTTTTGTCAAAGCACTTAAGATATTCATTGCTATCGGGATGTTAAGAGCATTCCATCGAATATAACAAAAACTGTATCTTGAGACGGTTTCTCAAACTTACCTACCCCACTTTTAAC